TGTGTGTCCTTGGAATCATTATAAAACATATCATATCATATATAAACTGCACAATCAGTATATTTTGATGCCAATACTTTTGTACTTTTACTTGAGTAACATTTGAATTGCAGGACTTTCACTTGTAACAGAGTATTCCTACACACAGGTACTTTTACTTTTACTGAAACACCAAGACATATGCTTCCTCTACTCACATATGCTTGCCATACAGGAGTAGTATTGAATGGTTGGAGGAAATCTTGTATGTGTCACTGGACTGCCATAATTCTCTCCCATTGTGTTATTTTTACTGTTTCACTTTAACCAGTTGGCCCAGGTGGAGCACATGTCGCCATCGTGTGTGATTTACTTGAATCTTTTTAAGGACAATTCATGTGTGTCGTGGCTTCCTTCCTTGTCTTTCTATCAAGCCACGAGACGCCTTAAACAGACAGCTCTAACTTGTTTTCTTTCCTTTGTTTTACTTACAGTTTGAAGAGTTGCTTGGCCTTAGATGGTTTAGATGATGTTGCGATGTGTTTGCTCAAAATAAAACAAAAAACTTTTGCACAAGCATCAAAGAAAAGAGGCCTTTACAATATCCAAAAGAAATAAGCAAAACTCAAATAAAATAATAAACAACTTAGGTATTCTTTCTTTCTTAATAATGCTTATATAACTTAATAACTTAAAGGGTAATCGTACGATATGTACGTGTATGTGTATGTGTATGGTTAAAAACTGTTCCTCGACCGCGTCTCTCAAACAGGTTGCCCATCACTGTGGCTTTTAGCGCAGGCGCCGTGGGAATTGTAGTCCTTTATAGTGTGTTGGCTACAGACGTCACAATTAGGTGGCCTTTCTTATAAATAAAAAATACTGGCTCTAACAATGTGTAGTGATTTGGGAAGTACTACTGTGTTCATGAAGGAAAATCAGAGGTGGGAGAAGTAGGCAGATCTTGTAATTGAGGGGAAATAGAAGAGTGTAGGAATACTCTATTACAAGTAAAAGTCCTGCATTCAAAATGTTACTCAAGTAAAAGTACAAAAGTATTAGCATCGAAATATAGTTAAAGTACCAAAAGTAAAAGTAGAAATTGTGCAGATTGGCCCATTTCAGAATATGATGGGTTTTATGATTATTGATGCATTAAAGTATTATCAAAGCTGGTATTTAATGTACATGTACATGCAGTGGAGTAAAAGTACACTATTTACCTCTGAATGGTAATGGAGTAAAAGTACATAGTAGCAAAAAATCTACCTCAAAACTTAACTAAAGTACAGCTACTACAGTAACAAATGTATTTTACACCACTAATACAGTAAGCTGCATTTAGACAGGTAACTTGATGTGTTGTTTTCTATTGTAGTTAATGAAAGGTATATTTATCACCACTTCCAGCAATGTGTTAAATGTTATTATTTTCAGAAATGTTACATCAATTTTTTGAGGAATTCATTTCATGTTTATCAGTTTATTTCCCCCTGCACTTTGTTTATTCGGTGATGTTCTTATACTCCTGTGTACTTAATTGGATAAACTATGTGAATTACATTAGGGTCCAGTGAAATCCATTCAAACCCATAAGATGATGTCATTAGGACATTATATAATTAATTGTGAAAACATTTCCCGTGCACAATCCCAAGTGACATACATTCGCACACTAATTACTTTTAATATTTCATCATGTTTGGTGAATAAAATATTCACAATGCAATTGAATGTGTCAAAACCAGAATAAAAGATCATCTCACATGCTATTCTTTTTTTATTGACATTTTTTATTTGAGATGCCAAGTCCGGGGTGAGACAAGCTTCAAAAAAAGGTTGTTTCTATGAATATCATTCTTTATAAAGTGTTTGTATGATTGCATGACGAGATGTCCATACAGATTTATGCTAACTTCCAGTTTGAGATGTTTGAAACTGGGTCTGGGAGTTCTTCAAGTCAAGTTTGATGTGTTAAATATTTACAGCCTGGTGTGCTCAAAGCAAAGCCTGCCGTGAGACTACGCCTCTTTGATGTCTGCTCTATCAGATGATACCAACATGTGGAGTGTGTGAGAAGTCTAATTACTGGCAGAGAGCTCTGTGTGTGTGTGTGTGTGTGTGTGTGTGTGTGTGTGTGTGTGTGTGTGTGTGTGTGTGTGTGTGTGTGTGTGTGTGTGTGTGTGTGTGTGTGTGTGTGTGTGTGTGTGTGTGTGTGTGTAGTGTGTGTGTGTGTGTGTGTGTGTAGTAGTAGTAGTAGTAGTGTGTGTGTGTGGGGAAATGGCTTTCTTCTAAATTACTCAACATTGAACATGTCAAACAAACAAAAGCTATTAAATGTAAACTAGTTCAGGAATCTATCACACCTTCAGTCACATGACACACTCTTCTCAATGTGTTTCTGCTTGACTATAGTTAATTCAGCGTTTCTCAAAGTGTGGGGCGCGCCCCACTGGTGGGGCGCAGGGATGTGATAGGTGGGTCGCAAGCGGACGCGATGAAC